ACAAAAAAATCAGGGATTCGCTTTTTCTATATGAAAATCAAGTCCGCAGTATTTTTTAATATAATGTAACAGTCCAAAATACTAAAAAGTTTTTTGGCGCGGAATCCACCAAGCTAAAAAAAGGGAAAATATAGTTTTCTTCGAACATTTTCGGCCTTATTGCACAGTAAAATGAAATAGTTCAATAGTTGTAACGTAAAAGTCTTTTGAACTAATTTAATTTTTAGACACCCTTGTTTTCCTATTTAGTTAAACATGGGGCTCATTTTAAAACTTATTTTTTTTCTAACTTATGTAAACTGAAAAGATAAGAATTACGTAGAAAAATAAAAAAACGTGAGAATTATAGAAAAGAACGAACTCAAAAGAAGCGAAATAAGAAGCTAAAATAACAAGAAGATTTTCCGATTCCACAATAAAAAATCTATTAGAATTATTTCGACAATTTTTTTAGTACTACAAAAAGTCCTCGAATATAACATTTGAAGGGTAAGAATAGTACTAAATTGCATAGAGAAAACAAGATAAGCCATTAAAGCCGTTTTTCGTGAAATTAACCGCGAAAAACTCAACATCTTGGCACAGTTCTAAGATCGAGTTCGAGTTCTGCGCAGAAAATTACTTCGGAAACGACCTACAGCTGCACAACATTAGGTACTTTGAAATCTGTATTCATTATTATCATGTTCTTAATTTCATTGAATTACTTGTCACATCGAAAAACTACTGAATTCAGCTACTTATCGCATAAAACACACTAAAAGCGATTTAAATACCTAATTATAATTTTATCGCTACACCTATATCGCACAGGTAACGTAACAGTCTTTTTCTGTAACGTACCAGTCCGACTATTTTTTACAAATATTGACCTCAAAATTAATTTGATCAGTTCAATTAATACGTAGTTCTTGAATTCCATCCTGAAGCTAGGAACCTGTGTACCAACTTTTGACAACATTATATTAGGAGAGCAGACTTTTTCAATGATATAGAGCAACTTTAAAAAGTACTTCCTAAACCACCGGAGTTACAATATATTTTTGTATATATTAAATAATGCCACATACTTATTCTTTCAGATGCAAGAAGTAAAATTATCCGAAAATCGTATTCTCGCGAGTTCCAGTGGTATTTAAAAATTAGTGCGGGCCCAAATGTAATGTAGCAGTCCGCGTTTGGGGCCATATATAAAAATTGAAATATATAGGAAAATGACAACAAATTTTGTTCAACATTTTTTCATTTTAAAATAATTTGTTTATAATCTGAACGATTTTCATCATATTATTATCATAAATCAGTAACAGTAAGTCTCGCCTTCAATTTGGTAATTACTACGTACGGATCGAGTAACATTTACCAAAGTTATATCGAAAAACTTAAGTGGATCTCCAGTGTTTTTTTCTAAAAAAATTTCCCTTCAATTGTATAAATAACCTTTAAATGAAAGAACCGGATTACAGAAAAGTGTGCCAGGGAGTGACTTTTTTCGTTCAAGCTGAATGCAAAGCAATATCTTCCAATGGATAATCCTCAAAAGGATTTCCCAGGATATGTTAAAGACTATAACATTTGCTGCAGTCACTTTTTCACATAATGCAACTAACTAAAATATTTAAGTATATACTATATTTAAGTATATACTTTCATATAACGGCAATTTAGAAACCGTGCTTCTTTGGCTACTAATGAAACCATTCCGCTCTAATTTTCAAGACTGCATAAATGGACTTAAAATGGGCGTTTCTCAGCCAAATTGTATTATGTTAATGTATGTAAATACTTATATGCTTGAAACTACTATTAACTTATCAAACGATTCCTAATATTTGACAATACGTGTTTTACTTCATTCACCACGATCTTGAAAACTGAACAAATCGGCGTGACCAAGTTCATGGTCCTTTTAATATCATATAAACTTCCGAAAACATTAAAACGTATGAAATAAATCTGGTCTCACTTTTTTTTATTTTTAACTTGGTTGCTGAAGTAACGAAGGATAAGGGGAAATTATAGTTTTTGTAAGTTTTATCTTAATATCTCAAAAATTTGTTGACTTATTGAAAAATTATAAATGAACGTGAACTAAATTTAATAACCCTTAATTTGATATATCGTCCTGTTTATAACAATTAACGCATTCCAAAAATATTACAAGTCAAAGTTTCATTTTCAAAATTCATACACTTTAATTCATTTGCGCGGGCTAAAGATAAGTTTTAAATTAATTTTTCGTGGCCATTAACAACTGCCTTGGACCTAAGACATTATAATATTACTACTACAATTGGGTTAAATGCCTATTTTCCCCCATACAAAATGGACCCAGCCTAAGCTACATACATATGTACCTATTGAATTATTTATTTAAACTTATTGCCAATTATTTGTTAACCCAAAAATGTTTTTCAGATTGCATACAAATTATTTTAAACAGCATTTAAGACGCCAAGACGGTCCTATCTCTCTCTGCACAGAGCATAATTTTTGTTCTGTTGGAAATTACAAGAAGCTACTTGGAGCCACTTACTCCAGGATGAACGCTTACATTAATAAATGACCAACTTAAAAAAATGTAGCTCTTTATTGTAGCCACTATTAATATTATTTAGCTCTTTTTTCGACCGTTTTAGCTCCAAGCGAAATTTTTTTTTCTGGCAACACCTTCACCCATCTGCTTAATGGATGAAATCTACTTTGTATGAAATTTAACGTGTTAGCAAATATTTGGCGAGTGGTTGGCTGAAAAAATCTTGGCCAGGATGTTTTTAATTAAGTATTCAAAAATTAATTTTGTATTAATTTTTTAATGAACAAATTACATATATACCAATCGAAACTATAAAGCCTATAGAATGTGTTAAACAGATGAGTGAAGAATACTAGTATTACCTACCTGTTCATACCTGCTAACCCGATAGGTAGGCCAGGAAAAAATAGACAACTCAACGTTTTCACATTCTATAGGCTTAATACTTTCGATTTGTATATAATCTGTTTATTAAACAAATGAGTAAAAAATATAAATATATAATACTAGCTTTTACCCGCGGGTTTCACCCCGCGCTTTTATACA